TAGAACGGCAACAAAAGATTTCTTAAAATTCATTTCAAGTTCGCATATTACTCCTTCTTTATTAGGAACTGAAACGGCAAATACGTTCATTCGCCCCGTATTTCCCTCGAAAACCATACCCGATGCCAGATCAAATGGGAAAAGTTTTGCCCGTTTTAAGACCAAAAGGGCACAAAAACCATACCCTTTGGCGCTGCATATACCTATACGGCTGATATGAGGGAGTACCCTTCCACCAGAGCTGGCAAAACATGACCCTTTAAGTCGACATACAGGCGATTAATACATTATGATTAACAAAGTCATTACTTGAATAATTAAGGATTCTTAATTGAAATCAGTTTTTGACTCGCCCCAACTCTCTGTTAGGTTCAACGTCCAAGATGGCGGAATAGCATTATTCTTGTAAAAAAAGGATCACCATCCGTGCTGCAAAATGCGCCTTTAAGGGTCAGAAAATTCAGGTATGTAGGGATTTAAAAATAGACAGATTTACACCACATTAAGTTTAACAAATGTGTCAGTTCATTTTAGGATGACCAAGTTAAAAGGCTTTATAAAGTAGATGCATAAACAGAGAGTTACTAAGTTGGGATTGCGAAAATTTCTTTTTTCCCAAAGTGACTAAGCTGGGATCTATAATATGGCCACAGAATAGACTGCAATGCTATAATGGAAGGCCAGCGGCAAACACCCACCAAAAATTAACCCAAGTAACCCCCCGGGAAACCCCTTGCCCTTTCATGTACGATTTTTGACACAAAAGGTCGCCCTTTCGTGTATCTTCTATTTGACAAACAGAACCCCTTTCACGTACTTATAGTTTATAACTTTGCATTCCTTTTAATTCCTTTAAATGCACTGTCTGTTAAACATGAATTTATCACAAAACCAGGGCGTTGTCTTGACTTTTTCAACACCATAAAATGCGTGTGTATGTTAGCCGTGTTAGGTCCTTTTACGGACCAAAATAATAGACTTCCCTACCTTTCAACCAGTGAAATCCCTATCCTTTTACTCTTTGAAACCTCTAAAGGTACCCCTTTCGGGTGGAGCCTCCCCTTATAGGTTATTAAAAGGGAGAGTCCCGCCCGGATTTTAGTAACATGTAGCTTCTGACGAGTCTCTAAGTGCAAAAGTGGTTAATTTAGTTTTGTCGCAGACACGATCTGGGTATAAATTTACATGTAAAAAAAACAGCTGAAACAGGAGAAATCGGGGGTCAATTTAATAAAACTTTTACAAGTGTAATTTACAAGTGTAGCTATTGTTTTTGGACCCTAAAACAATAGCTTCACTTGTCAATTACACTTACAAGTTTTATTAAATTGACCCCAGTTAGTAGTTAATTGCACTCTGAAAATAAGAATGTCAAAAAGGGATTACATCTTTGAACACCCAACAAAGTCAAATAAAACGGCACCACAGCAGTAATCATTGTTTTAGCTTTCCGTCCTAAGCCAACACGTGCTTATAAAAATTATGTGCTTAAAAATGAGTCTGGATATGGAAATTGTACGATGAATCCCACCAACAATACATTTTGTGACATTAGGCACTGTGTATGTTGCGTGACACGTCCAATATTCAACTTAGATCTGTACTTTGCATATTTTAAATGGTTTTTGTTTTCGCTCTATGGATAAATTTTAATTGCCCATTTCATAACAACGCGTGGGAGCAAAGCTCCTGCAAGTTAAGTTTGACGTGAACATTAACGTTCGTTTCAAGCTGTTATTACAGGTACTACACTCAAAACAGGCAAAGACAGAACGATGTTTAATTTCCATGAGTAGCAATTAAATGCCGTACATATGCATGCTAACTGACTGGATGCAATTGCGAGGAGGAGAAGGACAAGGCCTGACAAAAAAGCTTCTCCACACAAGGTACGGAAAATACAATTGATATTCACGACATTTGGTCCAAATTTACAACTCTATGTGACCGTTTGTGGGTAAAGCATAGATTGCGCTTGGGCGATATTACCGTACTCTGCAAAAAGGCGCAAAGGCTAAACAAGGAATTAAAATAACAGAGAAAATAAAGGTCAACGATAGAATCGTAAATGATGAACAATTTTAAAACTGATGACTGACTGTGTTTAATTTACTCTCACTATATGTACCCTCTAACGGATAAAATCATCATACGAATAGCCTCGAAATTACATTTTATGCAAATCTCAGGTTTGCTTGTGGCACGGATGAAACAGTGGGTAGAACTGTTTTTGTCGGCAGAAAACATAATAGTAAAAAGACTTCGCATCGAATTAGTTTGAAAAAAATAAATTATAATAAAAAAGACCAAATAAAAGTAGGATACTGAAACTAGGAGACTGATTAAACGATAGTGACGTTTATTCCCATCTAAATATTTTTTTTCATACGTAAATCATCTGTCAATATTAAAATGCTTCATGCAGGACAAGAGCGTCGAAGTTAACCTATGAAATATACTACTTTTTGCTGTATTGCTGCTGGCAAAGGTATGACTTTCTAGCAGTTTCTTCAGTGCGACAACTTGAACACATCGCAGAATCAATAAATTATAATACTTGTGTCAGTTTGCGTACGGCAAAAAACATCTTCGGCTTTTGTTTTACTCGGCGGGCGAAGTAAAAGTCTGGTATTTCATTTCTGTGACTGGAGCTGTGGAGCTGCGTTGGTGAAGTATATGAACGTGTTATTAAAAAATGCCATGATTCTATGCAACAGGGTGTTTAAAAGTAAACAGGATTGCGTTATTTGTGGAAATTCGGAAGCAGGTCTACACGCATAACTTTTATTTTTAGGAAGACATAATCCGAGGTCTCATTAGTCGTAAATACTTGTTTGTCGGATATTTAGAAATCGTTGACTTTGATTTCTTTTATTGCTATGCGAATCTAAAGCTACAAAATGATCGTCTTTTAAAGGATCTGATTTGTCCGGTCATTTCGTCCGAACGCAAGAAGGGTTCGGTGGAACAAGGGCAAGGGCAAGTTTTAGTTGGACATTAAGGACTTTCAGATCCAACAACGCGACGGCAACGAGAACATCGCTAAGAAAGTGAATTTGGCTTCCTTCAGCCTTAAAGCAATTATTCCTACACAGTTACTTTGTCAAATGTAGGCGAACCCTCCTGAAGATTTTTTTTATCCAGGTTTAGAAAGAGATGTAAAATTTCCTTGTCGCTTGTTTACCATCTCCATAAAACGCAAAATTAGGCATTTTCACGTCGTAGTCGCATGAAAACGGCAAAGAAATGTACGAAAAAGTGTGACGCACGTGCAAAGTTACTTTTTTGCTTATTAAAGCTATAATTGTTTTGTTTTTGTCGTTCTCGTTGTTGGATCTTAAAATCCCTGATTAGAGGGATCAAGCTACGACGGCGGTCATGAAACCCGGGGGGGGGGGGGTACTCCCATACATTACCTATACGGGTATGTGCCGCCCTAAGGGGTCGTGATTTTGAAGCTCCTGGTTTAGAACGGGGTATCCATTTCAGAGGCGTTTTCTAGAACGGGGTATAATATTTCGAACGCACGAAAGCTCCACTTTTGTAAGCAGCCATTTGAAAGTATTCAAGGACAGATTGCTTTTAAAAATACGGTTCAATGCGTTAACAAGCAAACCGTTGTACTCTCGTTGAACGGAGTATAAAAAATTGGCCCATTTCTAGAACGGGGTATCAGTATTAGGGCGAATTCTAGAACGGGGTATAAAAAAATTGGCCCATTTCTATAACGGGGTATCAATTTTGGGGGAAATTTTTCCTAGAACGGGGTGCCAATTTGGAGTCCCGGGCGGCACATACCCACCCAAAAAATACCCAAGTGCCCCCCCGGGTCATGAAAACGCCGAAAAAAAAGGAACTTGCGTCCTTTCAAACTTTATCACGTCTATTTTAAACCGCTCAGTAGTCATTAAGGAATGGTTTACTACCCAAGTTCGTAAAGGTCGACGTATATGAACAATATGTAACAAAACTGCCTTCCTCTATACTAAATTGGTATAAGTAACAGAGCGCCTCTACATACTTATTCAAAAGTGTCTAGACGTTTCTTTTCATATGTTAATTTAAAGTGCCTAGTCAGTGCCTTCATGTATACTAATATTTTCAGTACCGGAAATAACAATAGATATCCCACAATTCCTAACGTTGTATATATTACCATCATTCCTCCTATTGTGTGCATTTGTCTGATAACACCTCAGAGGGAGGTTAGCGACCAACCCTCCCAGCCCCCAGGCATGACGCGATGCACTGCCTTGAATGTAGACAGTCATTTTCGTTTTTTATCGCGCAACAATCTTATAACAGAAACAAAAGACCCGCCCATAGGCTTAACAATCAAACAGTACCTCACTGAACGGCTCACACAATTGGCTGTGAAAACAATAGGATAACCACACAAACAATAACCCTAACCCCCAACACAAAAGGCAATATTGTTTTAGATAACCACTTAAATAAGAGGTTCTTATGAGGTACTGGACTACTCGATTGGCTTGACCGGTCTCTTCTAAACCTGATTGACTAATGTAGACACTATTCCTAAAAGAAAAGCGCGCAGATTTTGAAAGCGCTATCTTTACTATCTTTATCGTGACACCGACGCAGGGAACTTTGGATTTTCGCGTTTATTTATACGTTATACTCGCTATTTGTCTTCTTATTGGCTAAGAGCCTACAGTTAATTTTGGAAATCAGCGCCACCTACAGATTTGTAGGTTGCGCGCGCAATGCATGATTTCCAAAAACAATATCCAGTTAGGTTCATTGCGACGGTGTGTCGGTCGTTATTTTCTTCAAAACAATGTACAATAAAACAACTATTAGATTTGGTTTTTGTGATATCCTGAACTAATAATCAAGGTCTCGGTAAGTGTTATCAGCCTCGGCCTTCGGCTCGGCTGATAAGGGGAAATGGGAAGTAGTAGAAAACACGATGGCACGTTAATCATAGAGTAAGAAATTTGACGGTTTAAATATTGGCACAAAGCGCTCTAAATACCATTTTATTAGAAAGGAAAATAGTCTCAAAACAAACAGAATGAGGTGGTTTCTAACTGCATCTGATCTGTGTAGTACTTCAGACATTTTGCATGTATAGTAAGTCTGTACCTTAATTTGAAAATCTATAATGAACAGTCGACAGTTATTATCTAGTTTATAATATTCTTCTATGTATCTTATGTACAAAAGCATGACTTCGCCTTTATGATAAGCCTCGAATCAGTTTTAAATCAGTTGTTTTTAACGACTAGACAACGGTCAACTTAGTCGAGCGGAAGAAGTGCTGGCCAAAAGGATCGTAGTCACTTTTCAAGAGATTACCGAGCCGCGAATGGGCAGTACGTTCAGGTAAACATATGAACACAACTTCAGTCCAATTCAACTTGCTTTCTTTTCAAATTATTTACATTTAGACACTTCAGAAGTACTTGCCATTATTAACAACTGTTGCTCTTCAATGTGCGATTAAAAAGAAAGACGTATCAATAAAGCAACCGAAGCGTAAAAGTCGAGGATTGGCTTTTAACCATTTTCTTGGCTGACGCAAAATCTTTTTTGTTATTACACTAGCGAGCTAAAGAGAGCCTTCATTTTGTGTTACACACAGCACTGTCGTTGTCCTTCAAAAATATTAACATACTGTAAATCACAATACATCAGTAGAAGTGAAATACCGACAACCGTCATTAGCCTGCAGATTTCCTTGCTGTTTTCGTCACCACGTGACCTAACACGTGCTTGAGGACAGCCTGTAGTGGCGTAAAAAAGAAAAACTTTTAGGGTGGAAGGAGCAGAGTGAGTCAAATTGAGCGTAAGTAGATTATTTATTACAACAAGTCTCTTTTCTGATAAGGCTCCTCTATTTAGATGAAGAAGGATACTCATCCCTTTTCCGTTTATTTCCTCCCTTAACCTCCTTCCATGTTTTTGACAACCAAATTAATAAAGGACAAACTGTATTAATAAACTGGTAAAACGTCCCAGCAGAAAGGAGGAAGGAGACGGCTGTTTTCGCAGGCTACGCGAATCGTGGTGTGAATGTAACAATTCATGTGAACTGAACTATGAACGGAAAACACGTTTTACAACAATCAAATCTTAATGTCACACAGTTATTGCCCTCGACCAAAAGAGAAAGAAGTGTACGGTAACTGTAGCCTATCATTTCCTCCTACGGGTACTTTATTCAGCAGTCTTGCACTCTCCTCTAGTTAAAGCACTCTTCAAACCCCAAGGGATTTATAGAGCATTTACAAAGGAGTGTTTTCACTCACGTGGTCAGCAGGTATGCAAATTTATTGCGACAAAAGACATCGTTTACATGAGAAAAGAGTTCAACTCCCAAAGGACTGGTTTGGGACACCAACATGGCGGAAGTGACGTCAAGTGAAAAGGCCCTATACGAATCTCCAAGCTCGTTCCCAGGGCCCTCTGTGAACGGAAGACCTTAGATAACAACGACCTCAACCAGGTTGTGGCGTCCAGCGGTTTTAGTGAAAACAAGGGTTTGGGTGGGGTTCTCAGTCTTGCGGGCTCATAAAACCTGATCTCGGTCGTTCTTATTACAGGATTTTCTCTAGGAACGAGGCGGACGTATCCCTCTCTATCTTTTTATAGGATTTTAATTTGGACAACTGTCGTATGGAACCAAGCAGTGTTACTCCTCTACCCTCCCCCAGTAATTCAGTAAAAACGACTCAACCTCTACCCCTCGGTATTCTAAGTCAAACGAAATACTCACTCCTATGTCGTCATCACGGGAGAACTGGTGCCCACAATGTGACCAATGACAAGTTTCCACGGCTCCTTGTTCCATCACGTGATATTCTACAACATGACGTAATGACAAGACAAGTTGGGACTTTTGGGGCTTTCGTATTTTAGTTAAATTTTTCTGCACTTTAAAGTACAGGTCACGCGATCATACACTAGGGAACTGTTTCTGACAAATTTTGTCTGATTCATGTACACATGTAGGCGTAATTTGGACTTGCCGTCTCCCACTCGTAATAGGGTACACCTACAAAAACTTAAGTACAAATAATATAATTAGGAAAATCCAACTAGTGGTCTATTATCAATGCCTGATTGGTTGAGCTACTACAAGGCTATATGTTATAGCCCACTAGTAGCGAAAAGCGCCGGCTTTTTGGCGGCAAAAAAAGGGGATAAAGTTTAGCTTTAACTAGCTGAAGTTGTTTTGTCTCGGTATTTTTGTCAACTAGTTGGATTTTACTAAAACAGATATTCCTCTCGCCCTCATGGCCTCTGAGTTAATAGCCCATTCGGGCTCGAGGAATAGTTGTCAACAACATCACTTGGAGCTTCAGTAACAGCTATAGCCTGGCCTAAAATCTGCCCTGTCATTGACCCCCCCACCCCCCCGCCCCCCACAGAATCGACGTTAAAAAAAGACGGCTGTATCGACAGGGTTAAATAAATATTGATGGGAAAAAATAAATAAAATAACACAGCGCACATTTTAGGCCTGGCTCAAGCAGGATTTTCAAATAAGTTTAGACTGGCGCAACAGAAAAAAAAATGTTCCACCATATTACCACTTTAGGCTGTAGCTTTGGCAAAATGCGTTTATGTGAACGCCACCCACAGCGTTTGTCGAGTGGAGATTTAAATGCGCAAAGTGTGCCGAGCACGGTAAAAGTTGAAAACCAGACTTAATTACTAAAGGAAACTGAATTTGGTCGACGGGAAATACGTGGCGTTAAGAACCTTAGCTATGCAGTGAATAACTATTTAATACCTCGTATGTGGTTTTTCAGGTGTGCTACTATGCCAAAATTGAGGTCGCAATTTTCCCACTGAAGGAAAAGAAAACAAGCAAAAGGTGAGATAAGATTTGACTGCGTTCAAAAAGCGGCAGTAAGATCCTTTAGGATCAATTTCGGTATCTGGGAGACTGCCCACCTACCCCTCCCGTAATCCAACATTTTGCCCTAAGTGAGAAGTAAGTGTTAATGTTGACTTAGGGAAGGGGTCGGTGGGCAGTTTCCCAGAAACCTAAACTATACCGGGAAGGGGGCTCTCATGCTTTATTAGCTGGTTCATAAAATATCAGTAAGCGAAAGCTTATGAACAGAGTCTAGCGGGCAACAAGGTGAAGAGGAGGGGAAGCACAAAAAGAAGGGGAGGAGGAGGCAGAGGAATTTCACTTCCCGTTATCCCTTATTTCATGCAGCCTTTACCAAAAGAGAAAGGAAAACTTGAAAATTTTCAAATGAGATAAGAACAAAAACAACTGAGGGAGCAGTTAGTTACCTTGCACGGGTGGTAAACCCTTAACTCCAGTTTAGATGCCACAACAGAGCCATCTCGCCCACCGCTGAATATCTGATGAAGAAGAAAGCAAAAGTCAATATTTAAAGAAGAACTATCCAGATATTTTTTTTCCGAGTGTAAAATGCCCTGGACACACTATAAGGCGCAAAAAAGGCAAAGTGTGAACAAGCCACACAAAAAATTGCTTTCCGTCACCCTATCAAATACACAACTAAGAACTTACTCTTCCATTGCTGACCAGCACAGAGAAGATCATGTCTATTTGGCCTCCGTACACCTGGAGAAGTTCTCCCGTCTACAGGAGTAAATATACGAGGAAAAATCAATAAATGCTCGTTGATTACGCTTTCTTGTTTATCAAAAGTCTCTTTACAAGAACATACATTCAAATCTGTGTGATAAAGTTTGTAGTACTTCCAAAATATCAATTTTATCACCTGAGCTCCCAACATATTTTCCAGATTCAAACAATGGAAGTAAAATTTGTAAAATAGACTAAAATAACAGTTATCATAAAATTAAGTCTATCCATGCCTTCTTTTGTATTTGCTGTGATATTTCAAAGACCTTTCACTATTTTAAGCGGTCGTGTTAAGAGAACGTTTTCACGTGACGTCACGTCCGCCATATTAGTGTCCCAAAACAATGACGTCACTTCCGCCATTTTGGTGTCCCAAAACAATTCAACGGCGGCCATGTTGGTCTCCCAAATCAAAATATAACGGCGGCCATGTTGATGTTCCAAACCAATCCTGTGGGAGTTGAGCCTTTTCTTATGTAAAAACTTTCTTTCATTTCGATAAACTTGCATAGTTGCTGACCACGTGAGTGTAAACGCTCTATACTTTTCATAATTAGACGCCAGTTCTTTTAAATTGGTTTCATAACCACTTTTAACCTCAATAATGACGAGGAGCTAATTTCTTCTTGTAATATCACTGTTTCACCGTCATGAAAGTCACGACACTTCCTCCTTTAATACCATAAGATATTCAAATGCAAGTGGCGACAGCAACAAACAACAAAACTACGCACCGTTAGGTCATAGCAGCGAATAAGTTTGTCCAAACATGACGTGACTAGCACTCTACCGACAACCTGAAGACCGCTGACACTCCGAGTGTGACCATGGAAGCTTCGTATTAGCTCTCCAGTCTGGAAATATACAAAATGAAAAAAACCTTTGGTGTTACGTAATATTTTAGTGGTTAAAGACTAAAATGAGAGCTTTGCATACTCGCTGACGACAGAAAGGACGAGAAATTCAATAACTGCTCGAGGTCACAATTTACATTCCTATACCGCAATCTTATGGCTCATAAAAGCAAACTTTTTCTGCGCTTACATTATTACGCAGTTGAAGACGCTGAAAGAACAACTTGAAAATGGCTTAATGGTCTTGGAAAATACGAACAGCTCAATGTCTACAAGACTTCGCTTACATGGAAACGCATTTGTTTCTATTTCTTAAACTATTTTCTACTACGCTCGCGATGACTTACGCTCAAATTGTGAGCCTGCACGTTCATGTCAGCGGATCCACTATACAAGATATTATTCACGACCTGCAATGAAATACAAAGATGAGTAAAGGTTTGATCCACTACTATAGGAATCATCTAAGTCCAGACCCGGGAGTCCATAGCAGAAAATTTCTATTTGATATGATGACTACACAACATACCTGCATACATAAAACCGTCATGTTGTGATGGTTAAAGGTTCGAATAAGAAGACCAGTCTGAGTAAATTGAAAGAAAAAAAAGTATTAAAAATGAACAAAAAAAAAAAAACTTTTGCCGTAACCTCGTTTTTTAAAAAAAGGCTAAGGACAAATCAGAAATGGCCAGTTTAAATTGCTGACCGTCATCTAGATCACGTGATATAGAGAAGAAAAGTACCTTATAGTCTCTGACTGTTATGGTGGAGTCAAATGAACCGCAACACAGCAACTTGCGCTGACCTTCGGTAGCCGTGGTCAAGCAGCTGACACCACGTGGCTCGTGGCAATGTAACCGCTCAAGTAACTGGTTAGCCTAGGAAAGAATAAGGAATTATGGATGTCAATCTTATCCATTTACTTGTAACATCGATGGTTAATTTTGATGAGCACGAGAATAACGATGGTCTGTGCGAAAGCCGTTCAAACAGGAGGAGGAACAGGGTAAATACGGCTGACGGGAACGCCAAGGGTAGGCTCGCGTTCACACTGGCAATCACATGTCAATCAAATTTATTTAAGGAATGGTTTTCACACATTAAACGCGCGCAAACCAAGCGCATTTACCCTTCAAGCGCTGAGAGTAATCAGCAACAATGTTCTATAAAACAGACCGGTGACAAGAATTGAAGAAGTGATCACACCGTACAGTGATTTTGTTACCACTGCGTCCTACGTCCCTGACGCCTAAAAATCGTTACGACTCAAAATAATTCAAGTCACTCGTCCCACAGGACGAAAAGAAGGATTGATCGATTTGAAGATTTTTCGGTAGAATATCCTGTTCGTGTGATTTCTGTGGCTGTTGTTTAAAGTTGTATACTTATTTTAGACTTTTTTGTGCTTTAAAGATAGAGAAGGAAAATAGAAATAAAGAGTTTTGGTGTCTGTCTCCAGATTAACTTGTCTGGTTACATAAAGGCCCAAGCATTTTCAATTTAGGGTTCCTTGTTGTTGTTGTTGTTTTTTTTTTGAACTGGGACTCATCGGTTATGGACAGGGACTCATGATTTTTCACAAGATGAGTCCCAGGACTCACCATAACTATTTGTGTCAAAATCACTGATGTCACATAAGACGAATTTAATTGATTGATATTTTAATAACTTCAGAAGCCGGATCCTGATAACTTCTCACTACGAGTTCCATAGCAAATGTGTAAGGGTAAGGGTATAGGGGACTTTCAATTTTGATATTCGGGTTAAAAGGGTTAAGTAGCCATTTTTTAGCTAACTGACCAGCCATACAATTGAATTTACGTTAATATGCGCTAATCCTTTTCTACACCAAGACGCCGCCCCCAGCTTAACTAGGAAAGACTTCCCTGGTTTTTACACAGACTGTTAACGGATGCCAAGGTCAAACCCGGACAGCCGTACATGCCGCCAAACAAGCGGATGTTTTAGCAGTCGAAATATATCGCTGAATAAACGGAAGTTGTACCCGCAGACTGGAATAAGGGTCAAGGACAAACTTTGTAATTTCACCCCCGAATCACATTCCAACCCCTACGACAGTCCTATGATAACAGAATTCGAGCTATTTGACCGTTTTTATCTGCTCATTTTCTATTTTGAGAAATTTTCAACTTGAATCTGTCGTTTGCCGTATACGTGAAGCTTAAGTGAACCGTCACGATTAAGTTTTTGGCTGTTTTACGGATGAGGTGTAAAAAAAGGAAAATGAAAATATTCAGTTAACCATAGTCACAACAAAAATGTTAACCGTAATATTTTTTCTAGCCAGAGAATGTCATTTTGAGAGTGCCAATATTGCTTTTTACGACTTTAAGCGTATTGCTTCGTGGCTGGCATCCCGGACAAGTCTTAAGAGGTCTAAACCGATGGAATCTTGTAACAGTTTCCCAAACTATTGATTTCTTAACTAGTCCGGAATATCCCTAAATTTAAGGACAGGGCCAACTGGTCACGCGCCACTTTTTAACCAATGAGATGGCGCGCTTGTGTTTATCAACAAACAAATCAAAACATCGCCCCAGTGATCAAAAATTTTCAAAACAACGGACGGAGTCGGACAGAATTAAAGATGAGCTTACAGTACTCGTCTAGGTTTCACATTTAATATTTCAAAGAAAACATGTCATGTAAGAGAATAAGAGCATTAATCATTGCAAGGAATGCGAACTGATTCCGGACCGATCGCAGAGGTCGTGGCTTCACTGGCATGGCTTGCAAGATTTTTGATAGAAGCAAACTCGTCCGGTGTAAATTTAGCCTTAGAGAGAGTGTGAAAATTTGTTGCGATCGTACAAAACAGCATTGGTACCACCTATTAACTTCTACAGGACAAGAATCAAAGAACCAGACATCATAACAAGAATAGAAAGTGGTTCAAATTTATTAATTTTTCTTGTTTGTTTTTTTGTGTTGTTTCGTGTTGACTTCACGCATCTGGTGCTTTCTTTGCTTGCTGTAGTACCTGCAATGTTTTAATTTTATCCCAGATAATCAGTGCATGTTCAATGAGTAGTGAAATACAGCCTTTACAATTGAGATTTGCCTTGTTTCTTTGATTGTTTTTTAACGGCGGATGAACATTTGGAGAATCCAACAACATTAAATCTTTCCAGATCAGTGAATTTCAGAAACAAAGCGGTTAGTATCTACCTTGCGCTTATGATCTTCAATTTCATCCCCGCAAATTCGGCAAAGTGAGGCGAGATGTTGGACGTGAATATCCATAAGACTAATAAAGTTGTTTTGGCTTTAAAAAAAAGGCAAAGGCTCGTACTAATGCGAAAAAAAGTAATAACACGGCTTTTGTGAGAAACCCGGGAGTGGAAAACGTACGTGTTTTGGACCTCGGAATTCAAAAATTGTTTACCAAAATTCTAGGTTGTCTGCCACCCCCACATTCAACATGATAAAAGTTAATCGATATAAAAATCGAGGAAAAATATCTAGAACTTCGTAAAAAAAATCTGTGAATCGAAAAAATAATAGATACTTGTTCACCAACATTGAAAGCCGACCAAAATCTCTCCTATACATCGCGTTGTTTAAAAGATAAAAGAAGAATAAGCCACAAAATGTGCTGAATATTTCACGAGACACTTCCAATATGGCTTCCGATACGCTGTCCACTTAAAAAAAATTGTGTATGCCTCATGAAAAGTCTTAAAAATACGCCTGAGAACCTCGAAACGATGACTGATTCTGCCCGACTCCGTCCGTTGTTTTGAAAATTTTTGATCACTGGGGCGATGTTTTGATTTGTTTGTTGATAAACACAAGCGCGCCTTCTCATTGGTTGAAAAGTGTCGCGTGACCAGTTGGCCCTGTCCTTAAATTTAGGGATATTCCGGACTGTTAACCCTTTAAACCCCAAGGAGTGATCAGCGTCAAATTTCTCCACGTAATATCACTGCTTTATAAAACAGAGTGGTCACGAGAATTAAGGACATGATCACACAAGATGAATCTACATTGATACTTCAACAAATTCTCCCCACTACTTTTATTGAAAACGTATAGGAATAACTCATGAGAATTTGAATTTTGATGTTAGGGTTTAAAGGGTTAAACGTTAGCCGTAGCAGACGGATAGAACGTGCATTCAGACGAACTAAGCTCAGCCAGATATCGAACTTTCCATGAACTTAACTCACTAAGTTTGGTTCGTCTCCTGAAAAGTTCGACGCTTGGCCAAGGCCCAAGTTCGCCTACACTCGCTCACAACGAGTAGAGGGTACCCAGCCTCTACTTCACATTTCCTTGGCTTTATTGTAGACTTCTACGTCTACTTCTATTACTTCTGACTAAAAGATCTAATGAACAAACTTATATCTGCCAACTTTTTAAAATTTATAAGGTAGCAGTATTTTTGTGGGGTTCCGATATCATATATTACCCGAAGACGTTCTGAAGAGTTGCGTCTAACACGAGCACAAGAACACGAATGAACACGACCTTGTCTCTAGTGACTTTCCCTGCTAAAATAAGAGAATTCGGAGAAAGTCGATCATTCACATGGACTTTTCTTTTCTGTCATTGGTTCCAGTTTCTTTAAAAAGTTTTTTTTTTTTCAAAACGTGTCACGGCTCAAACGTTTCTACAAGGCATGAGAAATTTGAATACAGACTTGAGTAGGCGTGAGATCGAAGTTTTTGATCTGCAGGCGTGACACTTTGCAGGTATACAAACTTGAATATCGTAAGCCTGTTTGGTTCACAAACGGGATGAGACACTACCAACCAAAGACATTACTCTACTTAGAGAACCAAAACAGACCTACACGAAGACATAAACATTCGGTGGCCATTAGCAAAACGAGTGACAGTTAAAACAAGGCTTATTGACAACTCATAGACTTGCAGCAGGTACAAATTAAAGGACTCGCACGCATGTCTACAGATTACGATAAAGCTTAAAATATCTGCTACGCAGAGGGTACAACTCAAAACCTTGTAAACTGTATGTTTGGCCTTATCTGAACCCACTTCGAAAGGACCCTTGACTCTTAAATCAAGACAAAAGAATAACAAAATAACACGAAAAAAACCCAACTACAACTTACGAAACGCGACGAACAATACGTACCCGTTTTGAGTAGCCCTGAACAAAAGCATAAATCGCGAATTCGTTCGACTATCGCAAGTTACTGATTGTTCTGCCAGTTATTCTAATTCGGTACAAGCTTTGCATGCGAAAAGGCAAGACTTAAGCTAAGACCAAGTTGGTCGGAAATTGGCGTTAGGAGACGTGGCTATCATGAGGAATTTCTTGTCCAACCACCTTTGTTGCTAAACGGTTAGTTCGCGACCTTGGCATTGTTAATACAAGACAGGAAAAGTAGTGACGGACTAACAGGAGTTAAAAGCGCCAAGTTACTCTATTTGCTACCTTTCTGAACAGGTAAAACGCGTCTTTGCATCAATTGCATTCTCAAATAATGGTCCAGTTTGATTATTTCAGGCTATATTTAGGCATTTAAATTGTTTCCTGTCGTCTACTGCTACCGATGGCAAGAATGGACAACGACTGAAACATGAAAAAATGGGCCAAATTTTTCACGTTTTAACGTTATGCCTGCAAAATCACCCAAACAATTATCATGGTATGGTCCCTGATGAAATTTGTCCTATCTTCTTCATAATTCTATGAGCGCATCATAAATATGACGCCCAATGTAAGGGAATCTAGGACAGTCTTAGATTCTGGACTCCACGCTGAGGATTCCGGATTCCAGGTACTGGATTCCAGTATTTGTCAGTAGAACTTGGATTTTGGGTTCCAATCGTTAGTAGGATTCCGGATTCCACAAGCAAAAATATTCCGGATTCCCTCAATTGGAGCAAAATTTGGGAATGGCACTAAGTAATGACTTCAGCACAGGATTCTTGGTTTTCACATGACGTCACAAAAAAATTCAAACTAAGAAACTATCGCTTCTTCTGAGTTTCTACTTTCACGTAATATATCAAACATGAGATGCAGTGTTTCATCACCAGATGAAACACCGAGAAGAGAGTTGAAAATACGACGCGCAGCGGAGTATTTTTGACGAACTTCGAGGTGTTTCATCTGGTGATGAAATTGATATTTCTTCTCAAACAAAATCATTTTTGAAGGAGAAATTAAGGATGCAAATACTAAGCAGTGTTTCATCCGATTTCCAAACACTCATTAAACATTAATTTCCTTTGTATTTTCTTAATGAATTATTATTGAGTTTGAGAAGTGATATTAGAGCACCTTAAAACCTTTAAACAAACAAATTTTCGGTTCAAAAGGGTTCTTTGTTTTGCGATACAGGACGCTTGAATTTCCAGGCTTTTGCGTGACGCGGCATTTAGCTGGCGGCCGGGAAAGCTCTTATGTGGGTCAAAAACATCCCGGATTTTTGGACATTTTGCTATCTAAACATTCTTTGTCTTAGAATAAATATTACTTTAATCTTTATGAGTTCCTCAAGCGAAGAATTCACGCACAAGTAGGAAAACTCATAAACAGATGTTTCTGTTGGTTTCCGGCGGCCATATTCGTGCCCCTGAAAGGGACACAAGCATGGCGTCTCCATACAAAGCTTTATAAATTTGGGTAAAACGTTTTTCCGAATATCTCGCATATGAACTATTGCACAGACCTGATTCTTGGCAAGGCTTTTTGAATATTTATTTTCTTTCAAAACACCCATTCTAATCTATTTCCGTTAAACGACTGAACTAGACGGATGCTTTTCTGAGTGAGTAGTGACCTTGATACAGTAGCCTGCGTAGCTGGCGGTATTGGGTAGTAGTCGAGTGAGATTTGGCGGCGGAGCCGTTGTAATATAGTCGAGTGAGATTTGACGGCGGAGCCGTCACGAGCGAGAAATACCGCGAGAAATACCGCCTCGTCCCTACTCCCTTTTTTTGGAACACGGCTCCGCCGCCAAAACTTTAATCTCGCACCCACACAATACCGCCAGCTACGCAGGCTATTGATACAGTCGAACCACGCTTTACGGACTCCCGCTTAATACGAACAACTCATTATTGCAGACAGTTTGTTGTGTCCCTGGGGAAAGAAAGCCCTTATCTTTTCTCTAAATTCAACCCGCTTAATACGGACACCCCCCTAATACGGACACTTTCTAGGGCCCTCCAATGTCCGTGTTAACGGGCCTGACTGTATTTTCGAGAACAAGGGAAGTTGTCAAAAAGAAAAAACATATTCACAATGACGTCAGCATGGTTCTTAAATGTCAGCCCTATAACCGAGTGCGGCATTTACGTCAGCGCGGATAAATAAATTTGGAATGGAAATAGCACAATAGCTCCAGTTCAAATATCTAGCCTTCGAAACAACGAAATAATATAATATAAGAATTGAATTTCTCTTAGAAAAAATAGATTAAAGCCGACATTTCCGTTAACCTACAAAGTCTTACAAAGGTCAAACTTAATTTCTACTTAGATAACATGACGTATCCAAGCGGATGGCCTTGCACCGGCTACGAAAAGGATATGCAATGTAAAAAAAAGGTCAAACAGTAAATATGCATGTACATGTTTTTTTTTTCAGAACCAAAACACATGACCGTTATGGCGATAGGTACTCCAGAATCAACAAGCGCAGATTCCGTGGCAAACGATGAGAAAGAACGCGGGACAAACAGCCCGGAGCAAAGATATACTCCTCCAGATGGCGGCTGGGGTTGGGTAGTGTGTTTAGGCGCGCTTGTGGTAAATTTTCTAACCATTGGACAACAAAACTCGGCTGGAGTGGTATACTCTGAGCTTCTTTGGGAATATTCCACGCAAAGAGGAGAAACAGGTATGGATGAGATATATTGTGTCTTTGTGCCAGACAACTGACAAAAGTCGACTCGAACAAATGCCCTCTACTTACTTCTAGTAATTTACAACTCTTTTAATGAGGGAAAAATTCTACATTTTATTTGGCCACGACTTGATTAAGAGAGTTCAAACTGAAGTGATCCGATACTATAAGGACGGCCAACGTTTCTCATATCATGCTAGCCTGTGCCAGGCGTTCAGATAGTGGGGAGCGGTGCGAAGTAAAAACCGTTCTCTACTTTTTATCGCTTTCTTTACTTCGCACCGCTCTCCACTATCTGAACGCTTGGAACAGGCTAATATCATGCTCGACTACGTTAACAAAGAGCGTCTGTACATTATTTTCACTCTCAGCTCATATTTCTGACATCTATAAGTCATAATATAGTATAGCTAAGTCAGAAACTTCCAGAATAACAGCTAGCTTGAGAGAGCAAACAATAGAATGGCTTTGGCTTTTTTTTAAGGTTAGGAAGGATGCAACAAACTATAAGACCGCTTAATTCCGAGCGGCAAAATTCAAATCCAAGAGTTATCAAAGACAATGATTACCCTTGGACAATGGCATAAAGAGGATTTGGTAATTCAGTGTCGTGAGCAACAAATTCTCGCTTGCACCGGGATTACAACGTGTTTATGTCTCGATGTTCGTGTCATTCATAAAAAAAGGAAACAATAAAACAAAGCAAAACCTAATAAAATGACGTAAGACAGAAAAAAATGAAATAGAAAGTGTCCTTGTCTTTCAGAAAAACCTGGTGGTAAGCAGGTATCCCCACAGACTTCCGGAAACGACAATCAAGAATTCACCTTACCTAAGCTCCTAAGGTTACCGTATTTATTCGATTAACCGCCCTGAGCGCTTATTAAATTTACGGATCTTGAGAGTTGGCACTTATTCGAGGCTGGGCGCTTATTAAATTTTCACCATTTTCGGCAAGTGTAGTAATATTATTTTGCAACAAAACAATGAATTGTAAGAACAAAACGCGAGGATGTAAAAAAGCAAGATTTCTGTAAAATACTCTGAAGAAGACTTCGTCTTCGGAGAAGTCCTTATTAGTACTTATTCAATTTCAATTCCAATCTCATTTTCTCTCAACTGGGAGGGAGGGGGAAGGGGCGGGGTGTGGGTGGGTACTTATCGGAGTTTGAGTGGGAGGGGGAGGGGTAGGTGCTTACTCGAGGCTGAGCGCTTATTAACTTTTTCTGCATTTAGGATGAGCGGTTATTCCAGCTGGGCGCTAATTCGAGGCTGGGTGCTTATTCGAATAAATACGGTACTTTCGTTTTTTTTAAATCTTTTTTTTCGGAAAGATTAGATCTTTACCACTGAAATTTTTCTTTCTTTAAGAACTATACTAAAGCTTTTGAAGTCATATGAAGACCTTGTCCGGCTCCTCAAATGTTTTGGGTTATAAGGACTTTATGTCAAATGCTAAGCTGCATAAATAACTTCGATGATCTTTCACGCGTCAGTAAGTACTTTCAAACGAAACCAGTTGTTTTTCAGTATTTTTACGACGTGATTTGATATTTTCGTCAGGTAAAATATTTATTATACTCTTTGGCAGCTTGGGTAGTTTCACTGGCTTCCAGCATGATGTACTTATTTGCCGCTGTTGGCACTACCCTAGCTGAACGTTACGGAAGTCGAGCAGTGGTGATTGCGGGCTCATTTGTATCGGCCGCAGGACTCTTCGCCAGCTCCTTTGCAACAACACTTCAACCTCTGTTCGTTACATATGGTGTGATTTGGGGCCTGGGATCAAGTCTAGGTTTATTCCCTTCGCTTGTGATCCTAACCAAGTACTTCAGAAGGCGCCTGGCCCTTGCATCTGGGATGGCGCTGGCGGGAGCAGCTATTGGTACCCTCGCATATGGCCCTCTCATACAAACCCTTTCGTCGAAATACGGACTTGCGGTGACATTTCGAATTCTCGCTGGCGTTCAGAGTCTAATGTTTCTTAGTGCACTGACGTTTCGTCCAGTGGAAAGGGAAAAAGCGCAATTGAACAGGAAAACGATGTGCGACTTTGCCATTTTTAGAAACAGAGGATACGCCATCTGGGTCGCCGCGCTTTGCATTTTTATGTTGGTTTTTTTGGTGCCTTTCGTCCATTTGGTAAGTTATCATATTTTTGGTTTCCAACCACGTTACAAGGCGGCCATGTTAGGGGTCAAAACAATAGAATTTTTCTTGAAGAATTTCCATGAAAATAGAGTTTAGTTCCCAGAGGAGAGAATGCTTTTGTTCTTGACCAAAATGGCTGCCGTGACGTCACGTGCAAACCAGCAATAGGCCTAAGATGGCAAGAAGCTCAGTTGAAGATTGAAACATTTGCGCAAATTTGTTTTGAAAAAAATTTCATTAGGAAACGTCACATTCACACCACAAAACATGGAACACGTGGTACTAATTATTTTGTGTGTAATTCCACCCTTTGGGTCGGCGAATGAAATCTTGTGATGTGCCATTTTAATAAAGCCTCTTTGTTAATCCTTTCACATGGTGCCATTTGTTTTTCAGCATTTTACTTAATGAAAATTGAAAATCTTTGCCAAAATTTGACTTTGGTGGTCACTTTTGGCAGTGAAAGGGTTATTATGTTATTAGAAGTGTTTTTAGTCAGTTTTGACTCCCTTTCAGGTGCGTTTCGCTGAAGATAGAGGAGCACGGAAGAGCCAAGCCTCCCTTCTAACAGGTTACATGGCCGGCGGAGGTCTCTTGGGAAGTCTAATATTTGGAGCTGTATGTGATCTTCCGAAGTTTAACCGCCTTAAAATTTGCCAACTTATCCTGCTCTCGATAGCAATTTCATCCTCCGTTGTTACCATGGCAAAAAAATACGAATGGATTTGCGTGTACGCGTCCGCATTCGGCGTACTCGACGGTGGTTATGAAATGCTTGTGCCTGTGATCACGCGGGATATCGTGGGCCCGCGCAAAGTCAGTAGCGCTATAGGCGCGCTTTATTGCATAATGGCATTTCCAAAAACGCTTGGACCGCCCATTGCGGGATCGCTCTATGACACGACTAAAGACTACAACGCGTCGTTTTTTCTCACGGGTGCAGTGACAATACTGTCCACGGCCGTAATGTTTCTGCTAAACTGGGTTCCACACGCCAAAGGCCACGACGTGGAGGAAATAGCAATGCCGTCTTCAACATCTGATACCAGTCCTTTGAACAAAGATGACCGAAGGAGCCTGAGACAGAGTTTAAGCCTGGCAACCGCTGACAGTTTACAAGCGCAGCGACACGGTTCTACATTATGGTTTCCGTATTACCTCGTTGAAAGCAACGGAGAATACATTTACTTGGAAAAACTAAGCGTTGTTTGACCATATGTACTTAACAAAAGAAATGACGCGACAAAATGTTTAAAACCAGAAAACTGTCGTCAAATTCTGATTTTGCTATAACATTTTGGTGCAAGTTCGTTGGAAAATCAGCGTGTGTCACAGAAGCACCGTCATTGCGCCGATTTCATTGTCTAAACTGGCACTGACAATAATTCAAGACTAATGAGTGATCCAACATTTCTACACCTATTTGCAAAAAACATTTGTAAAACCACAATTAGATGAGAGAACAATTTTTCACTGAAACCTGTAGAAAATTGCATCAGGCTTAAAATCAAAAATATCAGTTGGAACATTCTTGCGGATGATTACTGGAATTTGAGGGGCTTAATTATCTAAGGCTAAGTCCACAATGGTCCGCTTAAATCTGCAGAGATCGCCGAACGCGTGTATATTGATTATTATAATAAAAATGAGGAGGGATTTGATGATCGCTAGCGCAATGTAATTGGTCCAGTTAATTTGTTATGGCGAAGGCCAGGGACATAACGATAAAGCGTTGACATGGAGAAAGAACTTACTTACTTTCCAAAGAGTTCTTCTTGATCTAATGAAGTTTCTATACCCTACTTTTTCTCTCGCGTGTCCCGCTCGCTCTCGCACGCCCCCTCTCAAGTGCTTACTCTCGTTTGTTCGTTCTCGAACGCTAACTCACGCGAAATTCGCGAGACTCCCATTACCAACATTTTCTCCTAGGAGAGTAGTTTGTTTAAAAGTTGGTTGGGGAAGGGGTAGGTGGGCAGTTTACCAAAACTTTATTCTGATCCAATTATCTTTGTGTAACCTACCCATCCCCTACCCCAATATTTTGCTCAGCGTTGGGTCAAAGGAGAGGTAGGTGGGCTGTTTACTAGAATCTTATCCTGATCGAGGCTCGATTACCAGCCGCTCGCCGGAAAAATGAGAAATCGAGCCCAATACCGATCCAAGATAGACCTATGACTCCCATTCAATGAACAGTTCATTAAAGAGTTAGCAGTGAGGGCACCAAGCATGATAAATGACAAGCATGTCTCGTGTTTCGTATAACTCGTTAACAAATATTTCTTGACCACGTTTGGCAACGACTGATAGAATTGAGTACAAAAAAGGAAGAGGAACTATCGCAAGTCCCCTAAACAGGTTGAAACTGCGCAGTCTCCACGCACCCACGTGCCTTAACAGTCTAAAATATAGGGTTCAAAATGCGCGTGCTCCACGCATCCTCGAACCTTAACACCCACGCCGCGTTCACCTCATGGCCACACTTACCAAAAGATCTATGGAAGCCACTATGCCCGAGTTTAATCCGACAAAGAGTAGATCAAAGGCTGCGTGAAGACACATCACTCGCCCATCAAACGTGAACCTATGCGTGCAAACGCCAGTCTGAAAATGAAAATTAAAGAAAAAACACTTAGCTTTCGTGTGTTAGTAATGGTACATATGGTAACTACTGAGTCGTGGCGCTGAGTAGATGCGCGTGTATGTTCCAGCAAACGTCTGGTTGACAAAACATTAAGAACAAACTAATGCTGTACAAGCAAGCTCTCTCAGTGGAAATACGAAACAAATAGCCTGCATAGCAAGCGTTTCCGTTTGGTTTCGGAGCAAAAAAGACCGAGGAACGGGATTTTCGGTTTCGGCCGAGCAAGAAATGGAACGAGAGCAAAAAAATGAAAGAGGGGGGAGGGGGATAGAAAGGAAGGAAGGAAGGAAGGAAACAAACAAGCAAACAAACAAAAAATGCAGAGAAAGCTTGCTCGCAGGCTACGTTAATTGTGTTAGGTACCTTTATGTCGTAACTTCGCACTGTTTGGTCATTTGAGCCGGTAAAAAGTCGGCCACTATCCTCGGTTACCTGTTGTTAAGGTCAATAAAACAGCGAATAATTACATTGTTTGGTACAAATAAAAAAAATAGCTACGATCATATATGGAGTGATAGTTGAGCGTGTTGACATGTGAGTACAAACCTCAACACAATTAACTGCTTGATGATGCCCTTGGTAAAGTTTGACGCATTCTCCAGTCTACAAAATACGAAAATAAATGAAAGAAATTACCGCACATTAGTTTTGCGAAGATTCAAGTTGCATTTCAGACAGTTCACACAGATGTCTTGTTTTCAATCTTCCTAGCCTGTTCCAAGCTCTCAGATAGTGGGGGAGACGCGAAAGTAAAAAGGCTCGCGAAAAGTTGGCGGGGGGGGGAAAAAGCTCTCCCCAGTTTACTCCCGTTTTATTTTCGTGTTTGCGCTTTCTCAATTCAGCGGACCCGACTATCTCGGAGCCTGGAACAGGCTACAATCTTCCTGGCATGCAACCTTCCAAGGGGCACAGCCCAAAAGCAAACATTCAAACCCCACTACACCTCCTCCTGTGAGGTGTTTTTCGAGCGCAAGCTGCAGCGCCGAGAAAGCTTTTTCAAGGAAGCTTTTCTTATGGTCTTAGAAATTTCCTTCGAGCAAGGGGTTGTTTACCATTAACAAAACCCGGAATTTTTTTAATCTTGAACGAGTTTTGTTTTTCCATGAACCGACCGGTTTGTCCAAGTAAATGGTAAACAACCAGGGTTGCCCATTCTGAATAAGCCTCTAGACACCTCTGTGTTTGATGGGGTAGAGATAATGTAAAGAAAGAATAGACAGTGGTCACCACGGAAGCTACCCGGGTTGGGTTCACAGGGTGTACTGACCTGAATACTAAATGATCTTGTAGTTTTGTCCGCTGAACAAGTAAACAAATGACCGTTGTGCACCTGAAAATTACATTTATGTAGAATCAGATCGTTTCATAACACCTGATAAATATCATCTTTTGTCCTTAATTAATATCTAAAATCACTTGACCAAATTATTGATCTCATTCTGACCTCCAGCCCTAAAACTAAGGATTCAAAACCGTTTCTGAGATGAATTCTCTTTTAAGTTTAATCACTATAATCCTTTCGAGAGGGAATTAGTAATACAGTAAATATTCGCGTATAGAAAACTAGTGGATTGAAAACCTCCGCGCTGAAAATTGCCACTTTAATACCCCTCAAAAATACAAGAACCTGTTTAGCCAAGCAAGATCAAGCAGGTTCTTATCTGTGGGTCACAGCTAAATTACGATAAACATTTTAACCAACGAGGTTGACTTTTATATTACAAGAAAATGCTGTGACCAACTGTAATTGCTAATAAAAGTCTTACTGTAATTCCTACAACAAAAACAGGTTAATATATTGTACAGACTGTACATGTAATTGTCATCATGGGCCTCGCATAAGGCAGATTTGCAATGTACAGTTGTGAATATTTAACGTATTTTTAAGGACCAAACTCAAAGTTTCGTTATTTTTCCAGTAGTCAGCAACCATTGTACATGTTAGGAAATAAGGAACCTAATTAAGAACCTGCTTAGCCTAAATTGCCAATGAGTACCCCAAAATACAAGTATCTATTTCGCCACACTTAAAAGGAGCTTCTTATACGCGGGTTTTTTACTGTATCAGCAGTGACTGCTATTTTCAACTGCTCAAGAATCTGACTTTGACTTACGGTACCTTTAAGCCACACACTGCTCCCTTGTGGCCCACAAACTTCGTTGCAAATGGCCCGCGTTTTTTACCATCTGCAGAAGTTCAACAAGACGCCATTAACATTAAAACACATTAACAAAACCCCTCATAAATACGTGATACCTGAGGAAAACAAAGGCACGTTCATGCCACTTTATGTTGACAGGTTTGGAATAGACCATGATTCAGGACTGACGGGTCCTAGTTGTTCAAATGGTGTATAACGCGCTATTTGCTGATTTAATCTCTTTGCAGTGAATAAAACAATTGGTTTCCCTGATACTTATCCGACGGATAGTTTGAACAAACGTGGTCAGTTGCCTCCCTACACATTAACGGTCGCCTCAATAAAGACCTTCAGATTTTCAAGTCGAGAACAACTAAGAGGTCGAGATTTTCTCAATACTAAGTACTGCGCGCCCGTGAACCAACGTCATTTTCGGGGGAAAACGTGGTAGCCGGCGTCACTTAACTACGAGTTTTAGTGAGAACGTTGCAGTGTCGTATAGTAAACAAGTTATCAAATGATAAAGTTTTATCGTTTTGCGTTTGGGAGAGGGCTTAACCGCCTTCACTTAAGATAAGAGTGCAAACCTTTCGGGTGAATCAAAAGTACAATGAAGCTTTCGGGGGTTGTCTGACTGATCTCAGCCTAGAAAGAACGAGGAGCTGTAATTTACTGTTAAAGCTACCTTTAGAGTTATGTGTAGTCCTCTTTAACGACTCTTCAGTTGAAGAAGGCATTTGAGGATGACTTGGGTGGGAATGAACACCGCTTGACGTATTCTTCGACCGACCGTCCTGCAAATATAAACAACACTTTCATGAATTACTGTCACACCAGCAAGTAGGGGAAATTTCATACGACTGTAGATGGGCTACATGTGAGCATCTTAATGAAAGCTGAAGTACTGAATTTGCCATGTTTAAACGAGTGAAAAACTGGGTACGATATGCGACCACAAAGCGTCTTGGGATCGTTTAGAGGGACTACATAAAGGTCAAACACAACAATGCTGGGTTGTACTTTTACGCGGTATTAGAACTATTATTATACATTGTAGTCACCATCTGTCTTCTCATTGGCTAAAAGCCTACAGTTAATTCTGGGAAACAGCGCAACCTACAGATTATTCACTAATCTATGATTTCCAAGAGCAATGTTAAGTGCACGGACAGCAATGTCGAGTTCGCGGACAATTGAGAAATAACTTGAAGATAAAGTATAATAAAACAATTATTAGATTCGGTTTTTGTGATATCCGGAATAATCAAGGTCTCGGTTAGTGTTATTAGCCTCAGCCGATAACACTTACCTCGACCTTGATTATTCCGGATATCACAAAAACCGAATCTAATAATTGTTTATTATCAAGTCAGGAAGGAAAGTTTAGACATACCACATCTCGCGTGGGGACCTCATCTTTTTCCTCAGTTCCAGATGGCCCTAAATCGGCTGTGGTTGTATGAGCAGCAGCACTAACAACTTCACTTCTTCGATTGAATAAAGCTTTCTCCGCCGCTGGGACGCTATTCTGGGTATCGTTACTCGAACTATCGTCGATTCTTCGTCTCTTCGACGGGATGGCGTCTTTTTGGTTGTGTCTTTTATCTCTTAACTGCAACTTCTCCGCTTTACTTTTTCGTGTCCCTTTAAAGTCTTTCTTTCCGGATTGAAAAAGGCTGGATTTTTTCAGGTCTTTGCTAGTCTTTCTAGGCGAAGGCTTATCTTGAATTGTGATTTTAAGAGGAGAAGGTTTTTGTTTGTCCTTGGAAGGTATCTCCGAAGAATTTGCGCTAGAAGACGAAGAAAGCGTATCGCGTTGTTTTGAACTTTTCCCCTTGCTTGAAACCTGTGTATCAATGCTGTCTTCCTGTTGTTTCCACCTATTCATATTTTCTCTAACCGACTGAATCTTCTTCCTACTCGCCTCAATTGTCTTAGAAACGTTGATATCAGAAAAGCTCTTTTTCCTGAAGAGCGATTTTTCCTGTGGATGAAGATATTGGACCTTTTTGACGAGATCACTTTTCGTTTGTTCATTTGGTTGCACACTAACGACCTTGCTATGGGCCTCTCCTTCCGCGCGGCTTTGGTCAGATTGGTTCACTAACACTGGATTTTCAACTATTAACTGTGTATCAGCTGCACCCAGACTACTATGAGCATCAGCTGCACCTAAACTACTATGTTCAGTAGCAGCATCACCATCACTCGAGGCTGTATAAGTCTGTTTAGAAATACCAGCTCGTTTCGAATCCACCTCGCTAGTCGAGCTGGTTTCCTTTGCTACCCGTTTAGATGCTAAGAACAGCCTTTCTAAAAATTTCTCACTCGTCTGCCTGCCGTGCGGTGTTTCGTCTGTGGAAACAGATCTTGTGGTTGTTATAACAGAAGAATGTGCCACTGATTGTGGGGATTGAGTACAGCCGATGGTATTCTGTGAAGTCTCTGTAACTGAAAATGCAGAAGAGTCAGTTTCGAGCTCCGCCTGGGTAATCTCAAACTCTGAGTCCATACCGACCTCGCGACCATCATTCGATGGACTTTTCGCAGCATTAATATTAACATCCTGGGAAGAGCCAATTACTTGACTCTTCCCGTGATCACTTCCAACTGTCCTAGAATTATCGACATACGTATCTGACTCAAACGACGTTGATTTGCTGTCGTCCTCTCCAACTTGCGTTGCAGCTGTACTTGTTTCTCTACGCAACGTTTCAGTGTTCGCCTGCAAAGGAACTTGTCTCTGGTAGCAAGCACTTTCAAGAATACTGAGTCGCGAATTCCGCAGTTCCCCCATTCTGAGTGTAATCCGTTGTTCTTCGCTACTTAGTGAGTCCAGCTCGGTACACAGTTTCTGAATTTGCGAGCGGACGGATTTCAACCTGGACTGCACAGCGTGAAGATTTTGTAACTGATTTTGTTCCTCGCGTTCGATTGATAGCAACTCCTGAACATTCAACCCGGACTGGTATGTAACAGGCTTGTCATTTTCATTGTCTTTCTCCTCCTGCTTAGACCTTTTAACTTCCTTTTCAGCGCTCTCACTCGAAACACTCTCCGAGTCTTCCCAGGAGTTTATACGTTTACGTTTTATCACAGGAGGTGTGTCGGAGCTTTCCGTAGCAGATACCCGTGCGCCATACTCCATACTAGTATTCAAATCGATCAAGCCTCGGCCCTGAAGAACAGATGGTCTCACAGGCGATCGTGAATTGTCCGAAGTTAGTTGAGAACCATCGGCTATTCTTCCATGGTCAACTGAGGGAACTGGCATTCCTTTAAGATAGGATGTTGAGCTTAAATCGATAAGCCCTCGTCTTTGAAGAAAATTTGTGGACTCTTGAGCGGGTGGTCTAGTGTGAGAGGGGGCATCCCTGGAGTGTACATTAAAAGGGAGTAATGTGGTAGAAGACTGAACTGGCACATTATTTGACGTCGTAATTGAGCTCTCACCAAAGATGTCCGAAGCGCGTGGAATAGCTTGTTGAAGACCCTCGTTGTTGAATCGCCTACTAAAAAACTGGTTTGCATCAAACGTACTTCCCGTCTCAAGCAACTTTGACCTTGGCAACTCGCCGGTGTGCAAGAAATCTCTTCTTACCATGGGAGAATCTAAACTGATACTTCGTTGACCGCGAGATCGCAGCCTCGCTGGCAAAGGAGACGCTTTTTTTCCGGGCTCAAATGAGCGTTCAGTCCTATGCTCTGAGAAGAGAGGCTGTGATCTGCGACCGTCGTTAGACTCAACAGGGTCAACGCCAGCAGTACTGGTCGCCTTTTTTCCACTGTAACGTTCTGCCAAAGCTTTCCGAACGGCAGGAGGAAGGTTAAACCGCGACAGATCAAGCGATAGACTGGGTAGCGAAATGGTAGATCCATGAGTAGCAGATTGATCCGTAGGTAAAGGCGTTGTCGAAGAAACTCTCCGAGTAAACATTGGGCTCTGAGGAGAAGAGGGCGCATAGCTTCGCGGAGAGGAAAGAACGGACGACTTGGTGGAAAATTCAGACGGTGATTGGGTCGATTCTCTCGACGGTTTTTGTGGTGGGAGATTGCCAGAGTTGAAAGGTGCAACAACGGAATGCGGCAAACCCAAAAGTTTAGTGCTAAAGCTCAAATCAATCATTCCTGTGTTTTGAGTTTCCGAGGCTTGTGATCTTTGTTCTTCAGGTTCAACTTTCACCGAATGTTTCAGTGGATAAATGACACCGCTATTTACACCTGAAGTCAAGGAGCTAGTTGTAGGCTGGCGGTTTGCGTTTGGCAGGTGTGCTTCCTTGAGTTCAAAATGTGGCGTTCGAGATCTGATAGGTTGGGGTATAGTCTCATTCAGATCGATACTTGGACTACTATCTTCGCGATTTGGTATCGTTGAACTCAGGTCGGTATTTTGCCCTCTTTGAGCGACCCTCCCTTCTTGATACGTCCGAGATCTCCCCGTTCTAGAGTCAATATGCGAGCCACCCTTAGCATCCACAGTTGAAGAGCTATGCAAAGCTAGAAATCCCTCAAGGTTTGGCACAGTGTCACTTAAATCAATTCCAGGTCTGTCAATGTCGCTTTCCATGGTTGTATCGTGATAGCCCAACAGTCTTCTTGGTCTTGGTACTGTGTCACTTAAATCAATGTTACCACCAACATTTGCACCAGGCTTGGCAACAGTACTTGCACCAACGCTGCGATCGCTATTAATAGCCGACGAAGATCCCCGTAGAAGCAAATTTCTTGAACCTCCAGTGGTGCTAAGATCAATCTTTCCCGAGGGGGCATCGCCAGTAGTCCCCGCTGCTGTGTACAAAATGGAGTTGAGATCGACCTCACGACCAGTTTTTGTAACACCCTGACTAGTTTTTTCAGGTTCTTTCGCTTCTTGTATGTTCTTTGATTCGTCCAAATGGGAGGAACTTCGACCAATCTTTTCTTCCGGACCTGAGGCAAAACCGAAAAGCTCATTAGGATTGTTAGAGGATGCGATCGGTTTGAATATTTGTGTCCCTCCAGAAATATTTATCAGGGATCTCGTAGATGATTCGCGATCGTGAGTTTCGTCTCTCGACGCATTCCTCACGGCTGAGTTGACGCTCTGCTCCTGGGTGCTGTTTTCATCGCCTTTGAATACTCGCTGATGATAAGAACAGTACCTGTGGGAACAGGAAAAAGGAAATTATCTCTGCAAGATAAATAGATAAAATAATCAAAATAAATAAATAAATAAAAAGGCTAATTACTATACAACATCTTCTGAGAGCGGGCAAGATGGAGCGAATCCTGTGTTGTGGTTTGCAAGCCGAGAGGGCAAGATGGAACAATCTTGACACCAAAAAGAAAGAGAACTTGGCCAATATCCAAACTGTCTGCTTCCTGAGCTCAACTCCTTAGTCATTTTATCAGTGAATGTATGCATTTCTTATTCACTTACTTATTCCAAGTGGTTGCACCACACTGCACTCCGTCAATATGAACAAAACTACACTGCGGACGTGACAATGACAACTGGGAAAACCCTGGAATGTGTCGCGAGGAAGATCCTTTAACAGACCCACTGCCAAAGGATGACTTTGGTGACGACAGGCTTTGGCTGGGAACAGAAGCTATCTTCTCGCTCTCTGTTGTCACTGTGTTAGGTTTGGCCAATGAACGTGAGATGGAGTCTTCTTGGTTCTGAAAGGAGAAAACATTACAGTACAGTGTATGTGTAGAGTAAGGAGTTGATTTCCACGCAAGAACCAGGACTTTTTCACGCAATACGCAGGTTTATTTATTAGTACCGATCCTCGGAGACCCGGGGGCAGCTTGTCAGGGCGGGACAATTCTTCCCTCCGTTCTGCGCCAGGATCTCTGAGGATGACAACCGCACGTACATTACCCAAATTTACAGTTTTATGGTACCGTACATTTTGCTGTGCAGCATCGAGAAAATACGTAATCTTTGTTTTCTGTTACTAAGTCATTACTCAGAATGAGAAAATACATTTTATAACGAAATAGGTAAAACGTAGCGTAGAGGGTACAAACCAAGGGACAAAGGTGAAAAGTCACATGCAGAGCTAAAAGGGCCAGGCGAAGACAAAAAGGCCAAAATGTTAGGAAAAGGCATAAACAAACAAACAAACAAACAAAACAACGACGACAACAATAGTTCCACTGGAAAACCAGTTTGCCTACGTTATTGCATAGTAGGCAGACCTCCCTAAGGAATTAAAATCCTTCCAGTTACCTCCGTATCCTTTGGCTCTTTCTTTATTCCGAGTAAAGACCTGAGTTTTTCCTCCCGTTTCTCCCAAGGTAGCGAACTTATGGTTGAGATTGTGCTTGCAGAGGATGCTGAAATATCACCTTTCTGATCGCTTTGACTTGAAACATTGACACCGAATGTTTTATTTCTTTCACTCCCTGACATCAAGGAACTTGAATTTTGAGCAAAACCAAGAGAACTTTGTTTTTCTCTGGTCGAAGATACAGTTGACAATTTTTCTATCGTGAATGATGGCCCGTTTGAACTTTTGGAATTTAATGCTGATTCACTCCTCATTGTAAATGATGATGGAGAATCCGCTCCAAGTTCACGACTTTGTGTGTCTTTGTTTTCTTCACTATTGGCTTTCTCAGTTGATTGATCAGAAGGATTGTTCTTTTTACCCAGAAAAGGGGCAGGTTTTTCTTTTGGAAATTTTTCGAGCAACGAGGTTGCTGATTGATTTTTGTCCGTGACAGTTTCAACTTTATCTTTTCCTATTACAGATACTTGTCTTCTGTCAAGGTTCGGAGGAGAACTTCCTTTAGATGATAGCGACGGGTTGAGTGTCGATAAAGAGTCTCTTTTATCCGTTGTATGACAGTTTGTTTTATCTTCTTTGCTTGAGGAAAGAATTTCCTCTTTAATTGTTACGGAGGAATCCTTGATGGTAGCTGAAGAATAGACATCATTTCTGGCTGATGAGGAGTCCCCTCCTTGGGCATTTGCACGTGATGATAACGATGGGTTAATCGCTGTATTCTCTTTACTTTTTGATTTACTTGATTCCTCAGTTGGCAAATCCTTCGTTGCTTTGACAACAGACGAAAGTGTAGGCTCTTTTGGATGTTCCGCCACAACTTTTTCTTTTGCCATAACTGTGATCTCCATTTTATTATTACGATCAACTTGCACTTTTCTCGTAACTGCCTCAGAGTCTTCTTCCGTTGTGGGGCTTTTACTCTTACGATCATTGTCTTTCTCGACATTTTCTTCCACAGGTCTCGCTAGCTTCCGAGGAGTTCCTTTCCTTGTATTTTTTCCACTTGGACTCCCTGAGGAAGAATTCGCCTTCGGAGACGATGTCCTATCCTTTGACGCTTTTCTACTTGTTGCACCTGGGGAGCTTTTACCCAGGGCTTCCTTATCACGCGGTGACTGTTTCTTCCTGCTCTCAGCTGATCCTTCAGTGTCTTTGTTTCTAGAGCTAGGACTTTTATCACTCTGTTTTTTAGAAGAGACAACAGAACTTAGCTTTTGCCTTGAACTATTGTGTGGCGAGTTGCTGTTACGCCTTAAATCTCCGTCGCCATAGCGACGAGGTTGACTATCACGTCTCGATCTAAACTGTTGATTTGTGTCATGAGGGGGTCTCCATCCATCGTCGGGATACATGTACCCGGAGTGGTCATAATACCTGTCATTATATCGTTCATCAGTGTTCCTTCTCCAATGATATCTGTCATACTCCTGATCCGGGTAATCCATTCCTGGATATTCAGGACCCTGTGGCGGTGGACTGTCTCTAAATTCTCTCATCTGGTCTCTGCCACCATCATTCCATGGTGGATATCCCCCTTCTTGATAGTGCTCTCTTCTGTCCCTTCTCCTATCATGGTAGCGGTAGTCAGGCTGAGGCGCACCATCCATCAGCCTGGGAATGGGTGGACCCCTACCCCTACCCCTGTGCTTGTTGTTGTTCATATGTGCCTCCCCACCGTGGTCACTAAAATACTCTACAAAATCAGAAAAATCGTCTGTACTCCAGTCAGCAATTGGCCTGTTTCCCTGTCTTTGACCCGGGCTATCTAGCTGCTGCTTTTCTGGACTCCACTCCCGCTGCTGATCCCTTCGCCAGTTGTGAAGCTTCTCTTGATGGCTGTCACCATGCAAATGACCAGTGAATTCTAATAATCCAACAAATTCCTGCCTACACAAGCTGCAGCGGTGAACACAATCTCTAAAATGTAAAAAAAAGGTAAGTGAAGTCAGAGAAATGCTCCTTTGCACATAAGAATCTGTTAATTTAATATGCCTTGGGTGGTTTGCTAAATCAAGGAAAAGGTCTTTGCATTTGCCTGACATGTTGGCTAACCTAAAAAGGTTGCCTACATCATGTTGGTGAGGTTTTTTTGTTAGGCTGACTTCATTTGACAACTGACACTGGGACTACAAAGGTTAACTATTATTGATAACCTTATTCTTCCACTTTTTTGTCTGCAATTAGCAAGGTTAACTCTTAAATGCCCAGAAGTGACTGGAATGTAACATCTCCAACATTGTCTGGCAAACAGGTGATGACAATAGGTAAATGTATCAGCTGGAAAAATGTTATTTAACAAATAAGAATCCTTCACTGTGCTCCGTTCTGTTGTAAAGCGTCGAGGAAGCGGCTAGAGCATAAAAAAGTGTTAGGGGAAACACAGATATTCTCCCTGGTTTCTCCCTTCTTCGTGGGTGCTCTAACCACTTCCTACAATGTAAGTGTTTACAACAGAACAGAGCACAGTGAACCTGGATTCTTTACTGGTTCTATGAAAAATAATCCATTAAATTCCCCATTCATTACTTTCTAATTTTCAAAACAAACGATTAGAAGATGGCATGACAGCTTTAGGTCCATGTTTTATACTCTCATAAATCACACTTTTTTTTAACCAATCAAAGTGCACATTATATCATAATTTCATATACCAGGTAACCCAAAAATTGTCTTAACTCAGCGTGCAAAGAAAGTAGTGTCTGATAGCCCGTGGCTAGTGGATTTTGCTATCGGGCTAGTGAATTCTGTTTTTAACTTGCCCGACAGGCAAGTGATTTTTTTTGAGGAATTCGAATAACAGAAGAACTGTGAGATCAATTCTGCTCTTCAAAAAGCTTTTGCGGCTAGTTGAAATGACCTCTGGGCTAGTAAATGTTAGCATCAGCTTGCCCGAATGGCAAGCTGTAAAACTGATTTTCTTTGCACCCTGCTTAACTAAACTTCAAGGTAATGAATCAAAGCCAGAAGGAGAATTTCTAACAAGATCTTGGGAGTAAAACAGTTAAAAAATCAATGTCTAGTAAGTGATGAATTGGATCATTACAAGATAATGGGTCAATACCCACTGACACCTCTTAGTTAGGGCAAAACGCTGGCTTAGGGGAAGGGTTTTTGGGTAGTTCCCCAGAATCTTCTACACTACTAATCTGATGAATTTTGTTTGGCACTGACTCACATGTACCGATGAACCTCTCCTACAGAAGACCCTATAATACTCACACCTCTCTATTAAAAACAGTACTTTTGGTCCCAGAGGTGGGGATTGTCTATTCCGGGGAGAAAAACCTTGTACCAGAATAATAATTTCAAGCATATTGCATTCGGTTTCACATATTTCAAGGGCTGTAAAAGTAATACACTCTATGAAATAACTTTGAAGAAAAGGCTCTTCTTCGAGCCCAAGAAAACAAACTTCAAAAGCCTGAAATTTCACAAAAGAAATCTTACACATGATGATTTTACCTGTGTTTTCTCAACTCCTTTGAAATTTGAAATTTGAAATTTATTTTCTTGGGCTGCCGTAAGAAATTGTCTTTCATAGTGTTATTACAGATAGCTCTTGAAAAGTGTAAAAAACAATGTGATAGCCAGGGCTTCAAATATTCTGGTATGAGGCTTTTGTCCGCTGAAAATTTAAATTATTCAGTTTCTTACTGAATTCTGTCTTAAAGCTTCTTACCCAATCGGCAACAGGCAAGTCATCCTCTAACAAAACGAACAAGAAGTGGCCCTGGCTAGGCATAATGTGAGAGCTGCGTGCCCAAAGGACAAGCTGGCATTTAAGTTTTTTTAGCTGTGAGAGGTGCACAATTTTTCACATAAAGCAGACACTTCGCTCTGCCCCTTTATATTAGTGCATTTACTTAGGCAGTTAACCACATGTATGCATGGAATATGTACTACATTCTATCAAGCTCCCCCCACCCTTTTCCCAACACCTGCTTTTAAAAGAAGGAAGTTATTAACTCCCTTTCCTGTCAACTGCTACATTTACTAGCTTTTGCAATCAGCCTAGAATAAAATCGAAAGACCACTAAAATAATATTATTGCTCTCAAATGATTGACACTTCATGTGCACTGATCATAATTCTCTAATCTCCATATCATACAGTCATTATCTTCACATACATGTAATCTAGAAATAACTGTACCATACTGATTCTTCATCTTACTTTGCTACAACACTTTTTTGATAAATTAAGCCCATTTCTCTATTTATTTCTCCACGAAACCTCTTCCTGCCCAAATGTGTTACACTGTAGTCAAAAGAAACAGTGCTGTTCAAAGAATAACTTAAAGTTGTACTTTTACAGCAACAGTACATAAATCTTTTTCACACCTTCCTTGCTTTCTGTTCAAATTTGTATTGTGAAGCATAGACCATGTATGCTCTTCCAATTCCTGCAATGAAAATTATCCAGAAACAATTATTATTCTATGTTTATGGTACACAGTCATACATGTAATGGCCTGTCTAAAGCCACCCCATCCCCTCACTAAAAACAGGCTAACATGAACAGTGTTCACTTTAATCTGTACTCACTATGATCTCTAGTAAAATGTAGATGCATATTCCTTTCACAGAGAGTTTAAGCCATCAAATTATACATCAGTGTCCACTGGTTGTAAGTTCATTGAATGATGTCAAAGTGTGCTTTTGTTACCGACTTCCAAGTATCAAACTTGGCTATTACACTGTCGGTATCAAACTTTAATAGTACGTGGGTAGAAAAACTTGAATATCACAAATTTTACAGGTAGTGAGACGAGCTTCAAACTCCAACTTGAGATAAAATGGGAAACTTGATAATGCCACCGGCATATAAAATAACAAACAAACAAACAAACAAAAAACACTGAACAAAGGTAAGGTCATTCCTCTGTTTTGCAGTGCCCAACTCTTATGCGCATCATTTTGCCGAGATGGTGTCAGCTACCATGGAATTGAGAGATAATGCCGTTTTTGAACTTTTTAAGAGATTTTAGAGACAAGGTGATTCTGAAATACAAATACACTGTAAGGGAAATTTTAAGGTGGTAATAAATCAGGACAGTGTGCTAATGTCAGTCAAAGTTACAGATGACTGTGCCAAAGACTTGCTGAGATCAACAATATTTCATAGAAATCACTCCAACAGTGTGAGAAGCAAGAAATGTAGATGTCTACTCCAGCTCTTTGGCATGTTTCAAGTCTCAACATGGAAAACTCCTTTATTTAACTTGTCCAAACAGTGAATGTGGAGAAACAAAGGGTCATCATGTGTTTAATGGTTCTCTAGCAAGGCCTTATTTTCAATATAAACACAAAACTTGAAACAGGTTGGTTCTGCTGTTCTGGTGTACAGGGTTTTCAATAAGGTTTTAAGTAGGTGCAGGGTGCAAAGAAAATCATTTTTACAGCTTGCCATTCGGGCAAGCTAAAGCTAACATTTACTAGCCCAAGCGTCATTTCAACTAGCCCCAAAAGCTTTTTGAAGCAGAAGTGATCTCACAGTTTTTCTGTCATTCGAATTCCTAAAAGAAGATCACTTGTCCGTCGGGCAAGTTAAAAACAGAATTCACTAGCCCGATAGCAAAATCCACTAGCCCCGGGCTATCGGACACTACTTTCTTTGCACGTTGAGGTGGCAAAAGCTTTGGAGTGGGTGGGAAAGGAAAAAACTTGCACCTGGTGCGAATTGCTAGCGCCAAAAGCCGAAGTTACTAGGGGGCTCCAGGGGCATGCCCTCAGGAAAAAATTTGGAAACTTGGGCTTCCAGCATTCTGGATTAAAAATTAGAGTGTTTGAACAGAACACGGATATCATTAAATGTTGGCTTACTTAGGGGTAATTTCCAAAGAAAAGTAGGCGGCAAGTTCATGTGAAGTGGCCGAAATGCCGCCGGCTCTTATTGAGAACCTTGGGTGTAGTGGGTCGAAATCACCACAAAATCATATGAAATATTTTGTAGTGCTCAAATGACCTCAAAGGAGGATAGTTAGAAGTTTTCAATTCGTCTTAATACCTTGACCCTTTCATCCGATGACTATGAAAGAGAGCAAACCATGTGCCCTTACTATCACAAGACAAAGTAACTAGCACATGTAATTTGCGTGTGTACACAGGCTTACTAATCACTCACAACATAATGGTTGAAAAAATTCACATGGCATAATTATCATTCCTTTTAACATGATTATGCCAACCAACTTATTAATTCAAAAACAGATGCAGGAATCTTGAAAAGTGATTTCTTTAAAGGAATATTTTTACACCTAACATTGTAAACTGATAATCTGCAAAAATGTTCTTGTAGCAAATTTTTACTGCCTGAATACAAAAATTAATTTACAGTCAAGGCTGTGCTCTAGCAGTGCCCAGTGAACCGTGGTGCCTCAAAAATCTTAGTCTTCTCATGGAAATCGTATGCTGGGCACCATGGATTTGACAGGTTCAGAGCACTGAGATCCCTTCAATTTTTTCTTTCAAAGAGCACAGTTTTGACCTTGATTCAAAACCAAGCATGGTGATCCCACTTTTCTCTTAGGTCAGTTACTCCTATTGCCACCAAACCATGTGTAGACAAAAAAAAGAAAATTCACAGTGCTGAAAATATTTGAAAAATCCACTGATATCCCTTTGCTGATACATTTTGTACATTCTTGTTTGTGTCCGTAAACACCATACAGCAGACATCCATGATGGAATTCTTGTAAAGAGAGTTCACCAATTACATGTACAGTTGATAATCGATTGGGTGGGTCAATCCGATTATTTCTGAAGATCAGTTTTGAAATCTTAGCCGATTCCCAGCAAAACTCTTAATAGAGGTTTGACTGTAATTCGAAGCATCTGTACTAATCCTGGGCTGTCACATATGTCAAATATTCTTTCAAATTCTTCAATCATTCTCAATACAGCTAAAAAAAAGACCTTTATCAAAACTATCTTGTACCACAAGCATATGAGATTCAATACGTCATTCATTCTAAATTAGCACTACAGACTGTGGAAAAGACTCATATGTTAATTATCAACAAAACACTTTGTAACTGTTACACTGTATAGAGACAAGCTACATGTAAAAGAAGAAATGTATCGAAATGATTTACTTAAATTGAACGATGTTATACACGTAACGGACACTTTACAAAAAAAACACAGATAAATAGAAATTTTACTTGGAAAATTAACTGTATGAGCTTATAATTTAGGGTTGATACCAGGTGATAATGAAAAAGCAAAGGAACAACGCATAATTTACAACCTAACTGTCAAACAAACGCATAATACAGCTTTGTAAGGCTATACAAATGCACTCACATTTTGGGTTGTAAAATCCAGGCTGCATAATTCACAGAAGTATTCACTGTTTGTACAATCGAATGAATCAACGGGCATTTCCAATCTCATCAAATATCACGTCGACCCTCAAAACTCTGGCGTCATGTCGGTCACTGACTGCAGCAGACTGTCGTTCTCGCAAACGTCAGTTGAACTTTATCTCGTAACCTCCAGCCAAAACGGTCAAAAAGCGATTGTTATGGTCATATCATCTAAAAGGATAGGGGTTCAGATTTCCACCCAAAATTCATCCACCATACACGCGTTTTTAAATGAGCAAACGTGCCAGTTTATCAGCCTCACACGTAGTGTGACAAAGATGGAGGAATCGATGCGTAATGCTCCGGAAGCAAAAACGTGGGTTTTCCAGGATACACGGACGTAGGAAGGAATTCCTTTATGATCGTTTCGCAATTAGAAATATGTTGACATTCCCTACAGCTTGGAACAAAACAAGAATATTTACACCCTATGTGATCAACAATGCGTTTTCTCACCCCAGATGCAGAACTGTGTAGAATATGATTCCCTTTTCAGCGGTCTGTGACAAAAGCCTCGCTTTCATTCGGGAATTTACCGGAAGTGTGTACAAACTTAGTCACGTCTGTTGAGTGGGTTGTTCCGGAAGAGGAAGTGAATAAGAGAAACATAATTTCCGGCAAATGGTGTGTCAGCAGACAACGTAATAGATTCGAATAGTTCCTAGACGTATATTTTAAACTGCCGTCAAGAAAATCGATTGCCATATATGTGACAACTGTCACGCCTGCTTTCGGGATGGGAGCGGAAGATATGGGGACCGGTCGTTTTTAAAATAACTGGGTTGAGGGACAGTGAAAAAAGAAACACCTATTTCTCTTATTAAGTTCTCGTTCTTTAGTCGTTCTTATTTGGTGAGTCGATAAGCTGCTTATTGTAGAACAATTCTAGAATTTATATGACATACCGTAAATCCTCTATTAAGCCCCCGGGGGTAGGCTCCATTTGAGGGGTGGGGGGGGGGGGCGCCCGGGCGCTGAGAGGCGGGGGGCTTATTTGGT